CGGCTTCAGCCATCCCCAGGAATGAGGGTGAGGTGTCCAGCCCAGATCTTCCTCTGAGTACCAGACATGTTCGTGCAACTTCTCAAATTCCTCAAGGCCAAAAGCAAGCAGTCCTCCTCCTCCCAGCCCTGCTCCTTCACCTGTTCCAAGTCTCTGACGTTTGTTCCACATCCACACGCCCTCTCAATCCGCTGGGATGCCTCCCTCGAGGCCCATATGCTGCCCGTACCAAATGCGGCCAGAGGCTTCTGAATATCTCCTCTCTGTTCCTCTGAAACACTCCCTGCCAGCATGCAGGTCAGGCCCTCTCTGTCACTCACCCCTGCAAGAGTCTACCCCCTTCTGATCTGCCAAACTTCCATACTGCCAGCTGCCACAGGGCAGACAAATCTGACCCTGCCTCCCCTCTGCTCAATGACCTTAGATGAGGCCTGCCACTCCATCCCTGCCACAGCAGAGCCAAGCATGGACACTGCCTGGGCACAGAGTCCTGGGCCTCACCACAGACCTGCTGAGTTGGTTTCTGCGTTTTACCCCAATTCCCAGGGGATTCATGTGCCATGTTCAGGTTTGAGAGGCACTGCTCTAGGGCACTCTGCCTCACACAGCCTTGCAGGAAGCAGAGGTCTCTAGGCAGCAAGAAAGATGCCCCTGGGTGCTACAAGTGTCCCATCTCCTCAGCCCAGCCCACCCAACACCGAGCCTGGGTGGTGGCTGGGAGAGGTGAGGGGACAGTTGTGTAGTGGACCCCCCAAATGTAGTAGGTTATGATGTTAGATTAGAAATATACTGAGATTTGTGGGTTAACACTTAACTAGACAAGAGAATCAAAGAAATCATGCGCTGATTTTAAAGTGGATTGCCTCTACTCTGCCTTCAGGACTGTCCTAAGTTAAAATTTAGCGCCATTGCTTCATTTGGGAAGAATGGACTCATGTACTTTGTACTAGTGGCTAAGGATGGAAAACAAAGTGATCAAGCCAAAACTGATTGTTTCTTATAACTGATTGTTTAAACTTTCCAGCTGCCTTGCCTATGGTTGAAGTTTTACTGTGCTTGCTTAACTGGAAAAAGAATGGTCCTTAACCTAGCTAATGGTATCTGCTTCTGTAAACTTGCTTGCTTAAAGAATCCCTCTCCCGTAACCGGAGTAGGTGGTCCGAGGCGGGTCCCGGACCCCATGGTTGTGGAATGTATGATGTAATTTGTCCCACTTCCTGTCTTTGTCCCACTTCACTCTACCTTATGTCACGTAGCCCATCTTACAATAGTATAAGACCCCCTTGCTTTTTCGGCTAACCACCATTCTCTGTACCTGTACTCTGACAGGGCAGGGGTGGTCGCTGGCCAGCTAATAAAGACTCATAATTCGGCTCAATTCGGTCTTTAAGTGGTCATTTCTCGCACTCCATACTGTAACAGTTGGAAAGGAGGAAGGGGCAGAAATCCAAAGAGCCTCCGGACACCCTATTCTCAGCCCCGGGGGAGGCGGCCACCCATGCCCCTGCCTGTAGACAAGACCACGCCACTCCCAGAGGCCTCTCCTCAGCTCACGGAAGCCTCCCATTCCCCATCGCCATCTTCCCCACACACAGGGACACCTGGGCCAGCTGTGCCCCGCAGAACAGCTGAGACAGAACTTGTCCCAGGGGGTGCTTGGGGGCTGCTGTAAAGAGAAGAAGAAGAGCAGGCTAGATCCCTGCAGCTCTGGAACCCAGGAAATGATGCAAGGCAGGCCCCCACCCCCACCGCCCGGCCCCTGCATGACACCGGACTCACCAGCAGGTGGCAGGCTGACACCACCGGTGACTCCGGCTACCGTCTCCCAGCGCCTGGCCAGGCTGGGTCCTGTGGCCATGACACCACATTCCAGCCTCTGTCCTCCCCAGGGTGGGATGAGACAAGAGCACCCACAGGACTCTCCATCTAGTCTTAATCAGCCGGTGCTCCTTGGGAGCGATCTCAGGCTGCACAGGAGCTGGGCAACGCCCGAGACACGCGTGCCTGGGAGGCCCCCAGACTCCACGGACCCGAGTCCCGGGAAGGACCGTTACATCCCCAGGGTCTAAAACAAGGCCCAACACACAGTGAGCGCTCAATAAACGCTGCCATGTTAAGGAATTCCACTAAATATGCACTTGAACAGCATGCATTGAGTTCCAGGGCATGGTGATCTTGAAGCACAGTTACCGTGGGCCAGGCCTCCCAGACGAGTGGGGACCTTTAGTCTGTGACCCCCACACCTCCCACACCCTCTGCCCCAGGCCTGTGCCTCTGGCCCACCGAGTTCAGAGTCTCGCAGCCTGTCTCTTCTCATCTCTACCGTTCCCAGCCTGGACTATTCCCCTGCTCCTTCTTCTCCACCCAATTTCAGCCACCTCTGAGGGGGAGGAGAGCAGAGGAAGGAGGACCCTGCCCCACCACACACACAGTACAATAGGATACACCTGCAGCCTTCTCGTGCCAGCCACAGTGCTGGGCACTTTGACATTTTAGATCTCAATTTGTCCATATGGCAACCTCCAAGGATAGGTCTTGCTATTTTCATGTCACAGATGGGGAAACTGAGGCACCGAGATGCTGTGCAACTTCCCCAAGGCCATATAGCTGGTGAGCAGCAGAGTTGGAATTTGTAACCCAGCTAGGGGACTGCGTTGCTGTTTCCAATAGTGTCTGCCCTTGGAGGGTTTTTCAAGATGGAGTGGGAAGCCCAAGCAGCAAGGAGATAGCCATTGTGGGCTGAACAATAGGGGAGCTCATGATTCTGTGATTCTCTCACACACACACACACACACACACACACATGCACCTACACACACATGCACACACATGTACAGGGCGGGAACTCAGAGAGAGCAGGAGGAGCAGGGAGACGGGGCACATCTGGGACACCACCAGGGAGGGAAGGGGCATCTGAGAGGCACAGCAGAGGGCAGCCTCTTTGGCAACCCCGTCGCCCTGGGGCCAGCACCCTGCAAGGGCCGTACTTTCCAAGCCCTGAAATGAAACAGGGTCTGACCGGCACACAGATACTTCTGGGCCAGCAGGATGGGCCTGACCCAGAAAGCATTCATCATCCATAAACCGCATCCCTGGCGTGCTTATTCATTCACTCGTTTGTCCATCCATTTATTCAGCAAATAAATGGAGTCACTCGTGTGGGGCAGTGTTCTAGGTGCTGAGGACGCAACAGTAATGAAAACTAACAAGCCCTGCCCTTGGGGAGCTGGCATTCTAGGGTGAGGGGACATGCAGTAAACAGACAGATGGGAGGATAATAATCAGGGTGGGAGGTGCTTAGAGGGAAGTAAAGCCAGTTAAGAGGGTCTCGTAGTGATGGGGGCTACTGTAGATGGCGTGGCCATGGGAGGACTCGCTGATACAGTAATACTGAAGCAGGGACATGAGCAAAATAAGAGAGCAAGCTCCGCAGACAACTGAGGAGAGACCCTCCTGCCAGCAAGTGCAAAGGCCCTGAGGCAGGAGTGTGACTGGTGTGTTTGGGGAACAATGAGGAGGTCCCGGTGGCTGGAGAGAGTTGGAAATGAGGGCTGAGTGCAGAGAGAGTGCAGAGGAGCCCAGCCATGCAGGCCTTGCAGGGTGGCCGGACCTCCTAGCAAGGTACAGAGGGACAGCCAGGAGACATGCTAAAGTGAGAGGTGATGCGAACGGGGCTGTGGCAACCCGGCGTTCAACAGGTCGGTAAGGGCTTCACTGATGTCCACTGATTTTGCTGACCTGAGGGATGACTGAAAATGATGGGGAGGAGAAAAACCCATTAATGTCAGCTGTAGCAAGCTGCAGGCCTCCGGGGGCTCCTCCCAGAGCTGGCTTCTAAGTGCCACCATCCCACTAGTAAGAACTGAATTAAAGAACCGCAGGGACAGAGTATGGAACTTGGGAGGGACCCACAGCTGGAGGAGAGAGGGATGGAAATGAAGGGGTTTACCTTTCCCCAGATGCCACCAGAAAGGAGAACCCCTTCCTTTAGAAGGGGACACCTACAAAGGCCAGCAGGGGGAGAAGCATGGGGACTCAAGGGGCCTCTGAGGTCCTCAGACCAGAAGCCAGATCTGTAGAGTTCCACCATTCCTCCATTCATTCATGCAACAAATGTTTATTTAGCACTTTGTATATACTAGATGCTCGAGGGCTCACAATCCCATCTACAGCACACCTCCATTGCCTCATTTCATCCCCACAACACTCCGTAGGCGGATGCCAACATCCCCATTTTACAGACAAGAAAACAGAGGCTCAGAAAAGTCAAGCCATTTACCCAAGGTCCCACGGCCTGCAAGGGGCAGAGCTGGGATTCAAACCTGGGAAGTGCATCAGACTCCAAAGCCCATGCTCTGGACTCGTACTGCATTGGCCTCTCTCAGGACCCGGCAGTAAGGTGGGCGGGGACGTAAACCACCAGTTTCAATGAGTGTAGGGAGTGCGCATGCACTGACCCCATCTGAGGGAGCAGGAAGGTTAGGCGATGCTATGGGGCAGGGTGGGAGGCATTTGTTCATTTACTTACACATTCATTCATAGGTTTCTTCATTCATTCACTCAACATTCATACTTGCCCTTACTCAACACACATATGGGGTAAGCACCCACTAAGGGTCAGATCTTGTGCCAGCTGTTGAGGATATAAAGATGATTAAGACCCAGCCCCTGCTCTTGAGGGGCTCAGCACACTTGGAGGAGGCAGACACGGAAACAAATCACTGCCACCCAGTGCGGGTGCCTCCAAGCTGGGCAGAGTGCTGGGGGAGCCCTGGAGGAGGAGCTCCTCCACCGGAGAGTGGGACACTGGAAGGGTCATTTATAGGTGGGCAAGAGGAGACACACCCTCTTCATGGTGGGGGAGTCATGTTCCAAGGCACAGAGCCACGAGAGGGCCTGGGGGCTGCACGGGGCAGGGATGTGACTGGGGTGGGAAAGTGGGGGCACAGGTGGGGCTCAGAGAGAGGCTGGGTGAGAGTTTGGACTTTCCCCCAGCAGACATGGTGCTAATGGAGGGTTACAACCTGGGTAATGGTCTAATCAGGTTTGCATTTTAGAGATGAGACAGTGGTAGTGACCGAGGATGTCAGAGACAGAGGTGGAGGAGACAGAATGCTCGGGCTGACAGAATCCTTTGTGAACATCTCGTGCTCCCCCAGCCCCCTGCCCCATCTTCCCCCTCGCTCGGGTCAGCTCATGCTCCATCTCTGCCTCCCACCCCCACAGGGCTTGGGCAGGGAGCCCAGGCGTGTTAGTCTGGGTCCCCTGGGAATCAGATGTCAAGACAGCATGAGACTGCAAGAGATACATTGGGTGGGGGACTTCGAAGGATGAAGGGGCAGGAATAGATGGCAAAAGCCTCCTCGGGCTGCAGGCGGGTCTGACACCCGTGAAAGGGGAGAGGAAAGGAAGGAGGCTTGGGCGGGAAGAGCCGCAGACTGCAGTGCAGCTCTGAGGATATCCGGGCAAGGCCCTGGGAGCCCCGAGCAGAGGCTGTCTGCAAGGGGAGGTGCGCACTGGGCCGGGACAGCCGCTTTAGTGCCCCTCCGTGCCCGGCTGTGGCTGGAAGCAGCCCGCAGACAGCGTGGCCTCAGCGTGGACGGCGCAGTGGATCCCCAGGTTGCAGCAGCTGGAGGCTGTCCCCTCCCTGTCCCTGTCCCGCATCCCTCTGCCCACCCAGAGAGGCAGGAAACGAAGAGAGGAAAGATGAGACCCTCACACTCCGCGGGTTCAAGCTCCTGAGGGCTGCTTGGCCTCCCAGAGCTTCTCCCTCCGACCTGGAAACTGGCCCATCATCCGGATTTGGGAGGGCGGCTGTGAGGATGCATCGAGGACAGGACCGCACAGCGCCTCTGCACGGCGCCTGGCACAGGAAAGGACGGGCGTGGCGAGGACCAGCTGCCCATCCTGAGTGGGTCAGAAGGAGAGCCCGGGGCTTGGCCGGGGGTGGGGAGTGTGGGGGGAGTGGGCAGGGCCATCTGGACAGGCCCCTGCGTGTCCCCTCTCCCCGCAGGCTATGGCAACCTGAGCCCCCACACGATGGCCGCCCGACTCTTCTGCATCTTCTTTGCCCTCGTGGGGATCCCGCTCAGTCTCGTGGTGCTCAACCGCCTGGGCCACCTCATGCAGCAGGGAGTGCACCGCTGCGCCCGCAGGCTGGGGGGCGCTGGGCGGGCGAGGGCTGCTGGAGCTGGGGGTGGGCTCCTCCGAGAGTGAGGGCTGCCGTGGGAAGCTGGGTTACTTGTGGGGATGGGAGGGATTGGGGCGTCCCTGGCCAGAGTGGGGTCCTGAGTAATAAAGGGGCATCCGCGGTGGAGACAGCATGGGGCCTGGGAGACAGGAAGGACACAGGCAGCGAGGACACAGGCTCTTGGCCGGAAACCTGGAGAACACAAACCAGGTGAAAGGGGCCCTGGGCAGCCCCCTTCTTACTTGGGGGAAGCGCTAGCTGCCCCCAGCACGACACCGCAGGCTGCCTGCTCCCTCGGCCCCCAGGTGCTGGCAGAAGCTGCGGGGGCTGGGGCGTGGCTGAGGCACTGCGCCACTGCGCGCACCCACAGGACCCCAGCAAGGCGCGGTGGCTGGCGGGCTCCGGCGCCCTCCTCTCGGGCCTCCTGCTCTTCCTGCTGCTGCCCCACCTGCTCTTCTCCCACATGGAGGGCTGGAGCTACATCCAGGGCTTCCACTACGCTTTCATCACCCTCAGCACCGTGGGCTTCGGCGACTACGTGATCGGTGAGGCCCCCAGCGGGCGGGCTGGCGGGAGGGGCCATCCGGAGATTCAACTGCCTCCACCTCCCACTCCCCTGCTCCCGTGGTCCAGAGACACAGCCCTGCCTGCCTTTGCTGTGTGATGGGCTGAGGTCGCTCCTGACATCGTGACCTTCCCTGAGAGGTCCTCACGTGGCCACAGGCCAACCTATTGTGCGGAGAGCCCTCCAGATAAGGGGAGTCCCTGACCGCCCTCCCCTGTCCGTCCTTGCCCCAGGTCTCCCCTCCCCGCTTCACTTCCCCATTCCAGGGAGCGCCAGCCCATCCCACAGCTCCTGGGCTGGAGGTCACAGCCCTCAGGGTCAGGCGGCAGAGTCTGGAAGGCTCATGAAACCCCAGCGTCCCCGGAGCGCCGTTGGAAACGATTGGCAGCCAAATTCTGCGTGCCAGCAGGGACAGCAAGACAGGGCTTCGTGGTCCAGAGGACCCAAGGTGGGGTTTTTTTGTTTTTTTTTTTTCAGAATTTTTTTTTCTTTAATTTCAGCATATTATGGGGGTACAGATGTTTAGGTTGCGTATGTTGCCCTTGGTCCCCCCCCAAGTTCGAGTTTCAAATATGTCCATCCTTCGGGTGGTGCGCATTGCCAAGGTGGGGTTTAATCAGTGGTCACTGCCCCACATAGGCAAGACAAGCGCCCCAGAAGCCACTAACCTTGCATGATAAAGCTGAGGCGGATGCCCAGCAGGTGGCAGTGGAGGGACATCCCGTGCAGCATCAGGGGTGGCTGAGCCAGCCCAGCTTCATCATCCCCCTCTTCTCCCACCCTGGCCTCAGGGGGCTTTCTACCCTCCCTCTGACCCTGTGGCCCTAAAGTGGGGAGGAGGCCTTGCTCCTTCTCACCCCTTCAACAACAGATCCCTGCCTGGAACACTGAAAGGAAGTTTTACCAAAGAAACAGCTAACTCAGCAGGTCGTCACCCCCATTTTACTGAGGAGGAAGCTGAAGCTCAGAGAAGCCAAGCCATCTGCCCAAGATTGCACAGCTCTGAAATATGAATTCTGATCTATTTGACTCCAAAATTCATACCCTTTCTAGACTGCCTAAAATGTCCCTTTTCTGGGTCTCAGTGTCCTGGTCTGTAAAATGAGGTGATTGCTAAGACCCTTCAGTGCCGTCTGGCCTCTGTGTGCAAGGAACCCTTCCTGAACCTCTCCTTGCCCAAGAAAGGGGACCTGGTGCTAGGGGCTTCGTGCTACCCCCTTCCTGATCTTCCCAATCTTGGGAGGAGGGCTCTTGTTCTGGAAGGAAATCCTTCTACCTGGGGGGTGTTTCCATCTTTACTCTCAGAGTAGAGAGAAGTGTCTGAGAAAGCTGAGCCCTGCTCCTCCAAGGGCCACATCTGCCCTGCTCACAGCTCAGAGAATGACTTTTGGATCTTTCTTCTCTTCTCTATTCTCACTGTCATTTCCCTTGTCCAGGCAAGTCGGTTGCATACAGTTGCACAGGTTGGGCACTGCACAACCCTATAGGTTTGCCATTCACACAGAGCATAATGAAGATGGCACTCATGGAGTTGTGCAGCCCTGTATCCTTGTCCCCCCTTGGCTCTCGTAATCTTTAAAAATTATAAATGGGTTTATAATTATAAATTGTAAATGAGTTTATAGATGTGTTTCAAGCTGTGAAGAGTTTACGACTTCAGAGACCACATATGGTGCAAACGCTGGTAAGAATCTGAATGATGAGGATGTCACAGAAGAGTGAGAACGCTTCCATGTCGTATTTGATGTATGTTTCATTAGAGGAGCTCGAGTGTTTGGGGAGGTGGGAAGGGAAGAGTCCCAAGGAGAAGAGTCCGCTGCCACTTTTCATGGTAAAGCCATCCTTCCGCGGGCCGCCACTGATCTCATTTGGGACTGTCAGCGGAATCATGGCCCCATAACCCAATCAGCCTAATCCAATCCCAGCTGCTCCCCATAGCAGCACTCAGCTCTGGGCTGCAGCCTCACCCCCAGCGGGGGTCCCAGAGAGGGGCCCATCCTGTGGGACCTGGATAGAGAGGCTGTCTGGGGGCCTGCAGGACAGGACGAGCAGTAGACAGGAGGGGCAGGGAGCCGAGGCACAGGTGGAGGAAACAGGAGGGCAGATCTCCACCCTTTGAATGACCCCCGTCTAATGAGGGAGGCAAGACAGAGCCCCAGGGAGGGAAGTAAGTTACAGACAGAGCATGCCATGGCAAGCGTTATCTGAGACACAGCGACCCCGTCTGCCCTTCCCAGCCATTATTATCCAATACAGACTGCACTGCACTGCGGGATTTGATGGGAGTAAAACAACCAACCACAGGTCTGAGCGCTGTCAGCCCTGGCACTGTAGCTGCATCAGCCCGTGTGGTCCCCCGGCAATCGCAGGAGGAGGGCCCTTACCGTCTCCACCTGACAGCCGAGGGAGTCACCTGCAGGACAAGGGGAGGTAACCGGGCCAAGAGGAATTGGAAGTGAAGAGCATTCAGAGCTGAGGGAACAGCAAGCACAAAGGGCCTCTGGCAGGAAGGATGACAGATGTGCATGGGGAAAGAGCGGCAGGGCAGTCAGAGGGAGAGACGTGCTGCAGAGGTAAGGCTTTGGAACTTCACCCTAAAAGCCCCGGGAGCAATTATGTTCCCCTGCAGGAATTTCACAGGAGAGGGGTGTTCAGATAGATGGCAATCACGTGCACCTGAAAACTGAGGCAGGACATGCACCCCAGCGGTTTTACCCATTCTTCCTAAACCCCCTGCCTCCAGCACGCTGCCTCCTGGCAGACGTGAGAAAACCAAACACAGAGACAGACAAAGGATAGAGCAGGCGTCAGAGTCTCCTGGAGGCATGTTCAAGCGCGGACTGCTGGGCCAGCCCCAGAGTCTCTGAGTCAGAGGTCTGCAGTGGGGACCCCATCATGTGCATCTCTGACAAGCTCTCGGATGACGCTGATGCTGCTGGTCCAGGGACCACACTTTGAGAACCACTGGGACAGCGCATAAACAGAATCTCTCAGAAAGGGAAAGAGGAAATTTAGCGTCAAAGCCCAAGCACCAATGCAGGGAGGCTTTCTGGACCCCTAGGAAGGTGACGGTGAAAGCCAGAATCAGATCAGGGTGTGTTTCCCATGTTCTGTCCTGCTGACCCCTCAGCTTGCTCATGTGACTCAGCCATGCATGCCGCTTCCGTTTGGGGAATGCGGCCCTGACTTTGCCAGGCCTCCATCCTCTGACCTCGGCTCTTCCCCAGGGATGAACCCCTCTCGGTGGTACCCGCTGTGGTACAAGAACACGGTGTCCCTGTGGATTCTCTTTGGGATGGCGTGGCTGGCCTTGATCATCAAACTGATCCTCTCCCTGCTGGAGACGCCAGGAGGGGCGTGTTCCTGCTATCACCACAGCTCCAAGGAGGACTTCAAGTCCCAAAGCTGGCAGCAAGGCCCAGATGGGGAGCCGGAGTCCCACTCCCCACAACAAGGCTGCTGTCTAGAGGGGTCTATCGAAATCATACAGCACCTGGAACCCTCTACTCAGGTTGCACACTGTGGCAAGGACAGCTACTTTACTCCATTATTTGCTCGATCTTCCGCCTCAGGAACAAGACCTCTCATCTTAAGCTTGGCACATGACTACCCAGACTAAAGACTACATTTGCCTCCTCCCTTGAGGCTAGATACAGCTATATGACTAAATTCTGCCCAGTAAGATATACAGAGAAGTATCCTATGTGACATGGAATGTGACTTTCAGGTAGGGCAAAGCATTCCCCTTTTCCCCACTTCCTTACTCTAGCTGGCTGCAATGCTGATATGGTGGCTGGAACTCTGGCAGCCCTATTGTGCCATGAAGTAGGGGCCATGTTTGCGACTAGTGGCAAAATAAGATAGAAAGAGCCTAGATCCCTGATGACTGCAGAGCCATCAAAACAAACTTGGACTGAATACCACCAGATTTCACTTATGTGAGAGAGAAATAAACATCTTATTTAAGACACTATCATTTGGGTTTTTCTGTCACTCATAACCAAACCTAATTCTGATTGATATACACACCCAGAGACGAAGAGAGCTTCTGAGACTGGAGCCTACATAGAGGGAAACCACCGTTTCCCCAGGTGAGTTTGTCCAGGACTGGTGGTGAGAATGGATTGAGGCCTGGACTGCTGCCCCCCGCCCCCATACCTTCAGAGACCCTCCAGATAAACTCACTCAAGATTTACTGATAACGCTCAGGACTGCTACAACCAGCAGGTGGCTGGTCCCAGTTCAGCTGCTGACCCCTTGCTCATTCACACCACAGAAAAGCCTAGGACAGGCCAGTGGGCTCCTTCTGCCTCACCCTGCCCCCCCGCGTTTGAAGGCTCCAGCCAGTTTGCAGAGCCAGGTGGGTTTGAGGAGGCCACTTCTGTTTGCAGAGAGTCTCACCTTGAGCATTTCTGTCTCTCACTCAGGGTTGCTACTAAGGCAGCACATAACATATCGGTCCCCACCACACACACCTACACACCCAGGTCCTACAGCCCAGTCAGGAGCCCCAGGCTGTACCAGCCAGCACCCTAGGGTCACCTGAGGCAGCTAGGTTCTTGCCCTCAGCGGGCTCCCGTGACTCTGGTCCCCCACCCATCCTAGGGGTGGCATCACAGGGACCCAGGGAGCTCCATGTGGCCCTTCCCTGAGGACAAACCCGTCAGCCTTGGAGCCCTCCTGGAACTGGGTCAGGGGTAGCCTTTTGGCCAGTGAAGCTGTGAAGCTATTACACCATCCTACTTGCACCATCTGGCCTAAGTGGACCAAGGCCAGGAGCAACACCAGGGAGTTAACACAGGGTCCATGCTCACTTCTCAAGGCCACCAGTCTCAGCTATGCTGAGACTCCCCCATCCCTAATTCTTCTGGCCTTTACCTCACCTGGCCCCACCCCTGGGCTCTGGGCCCAGCATGTGCTGTCCTGAAGTAGGCCCCACTGACTGCCCTGCTCCGCCCTCCCCAAACCACACACAGTGCGGGCTCCACACACACTGCTGTCCCTGGGCCTCCCACCCACTGTCCATCCC